TTCTCGGAGAGAAATCCGGTTATGGTCCCCTTCCTAAGAAATCCCTCGCCGCCGAGCTGGAACGAAGGCCATTCCGTAGGGGGGTGGGAGGGGGGCTGTTTCCCAGTCGCATTTTACGCGGTTCCAGAGAAGATCATCTGCATGCAATGGCATGGCGGGGGATTCCGAGAAGATTTTCTCATTCCCTGTGTTACGAATGAAATGCCAGGCGGTCTACCAGGAAAAGCGGTTCCCTCAGCAAAGAATGGGAAAAAAAAGAAACGAAAAAAAGATATAAAAAAGGAATGACATAATGGCCTGGAGGTAAGATGAAAAGTATCTCAGGATGATTACCCCAAGAAAATTATTTCATGAGAATCGCCTCACAAACCCGCAACAGATTGGCACGAAATAGAATTTTGACCGTGGTAACGGGACGGGTCTGAACTCAATTTTTCGGCACAACGCGGAAGCGCCACGAAAAGAGAACAATCGTTTAGAATGTGGGAAACCCAAGTTCCCAACGTGACCGAGGAAATTTGTCTTTTTTTAGCCGGAGCGACCGGTTTGCGCCCGGGACGGCGCTTCCCAGGCGCCCGCCGAACCGTGGAAGATGGCGAAAACCGCGTAATCACCCGGAAATCTCCCTTCGCGCCTCGATCCGATCCCCACGACGAAAACGAGGGAAAGTGGACGGGCTGGAGACGCAGTTTCTTTTTTTTTCTATCATTCATCCTCGAGATAACCCAGGGCGTCGTAAAAATGCCATGGCGAGACCCCGACTCAATTCCAATCCCATTCCAGCCGCTGGAGATTCGGAATCTAGCGAATTTTTCCCTGTCCAGAGTGGTCAAACATTCACACAGAACCTCGTATCAGATAAGGAATTCCATCCCGATAGTGTAATCTCCCATCCATTAGCAGGAACCATATTCCGGAGCTTCTGACTCACCATACCTAGTCCCAAACGCTGTACGATACGAAGAGGGCAAACTTTAGGCTAGGTCCCTATTCTAGGGGGATATTCCTTATAGTCACTTAAAAGACATGCCAAAAATAAAAGAAAGCCAAAAACATACAGTGTGGGAGCGGAGAGTGAATTCTCGTGTGGACCCCCCCCCCCCCCCCCCCCCCCCCCCCCCCCCCCACTCGCACGTGTGTGCATGCACGGCCAGGACCAAACACCACCCCCAGCCCCCTTCTCCCTCCGAATGCCGAGCGGCCGGTCGAGGAGGAAAAGGACAGGAAGCAGGAAATGATCATCTTCCTCATCCTCATGTGTGTCTGCGTCTCGGGCCATATGGTTCTCCACACACGCACACACAAACGCATTGACCTGGAACTACGCCGCTCTCGTCCCTTTCGGAAAATCCCAGCAACACGAAAAGCCCTTTACTCGAGGAACTCGAGGGTGGAACTCTCCTTTCCCGCGGGAGAAACCCAGAGGAGCAGAAACACCCGCGACCACCTCACCGCACCGCACACTCCACGCGACAGGACTGACGCCGACAGTGACGCGCGACCTCATCGGTCAAAAATGCCGCCGGAACCCGAGTCACGCGCAGCGAGCCCACCGATTGGCCACCTCTCCCTCATCCCCCGCCGCGCGAACCAATCACCTGACGCAATGCCCTCCACCCCGATTGCTCATCGGAACGCAAGCACGTGGACGCAGGGGGCGATAAGCGACCATTCATTCCGGACTCGCACGGGCACCAGCCACTCCCTTCGCTCTCGTCCCCGTCATGATCCACTCGACAACTTGGCGGGGTTCCGATCTCTCATCTCGCCCGAGTGTCGGGCGGGTGCTATGACGCTTCGCGAAACGACGATGATGAAGAGGTTGTTGAGGTTTCTGTGGTCTGGCTTCATCTCCATTTCGACATAATCCTCTCCCCTCCTCTCACCTCTTTCTTCCTCCCTCCCATTCTATCCTCGACTTTTACCTCATTTGCATCTGATTACCACAACACAGGCTCCCCCTCTCCCCGGAGAGGGAAGGGGGTCCCGCTGACCACAATCAGGTCGAGGGAAGCTGCACTTTTCCCGACTTTTCTTCCATGATTCATGGCTCTCGCGGGAGACGAGCCAGATGACTTTTCCACATCTTTACCGTCCCGCGAGACACCTCGTGTCTCAGCCTCTGAGAGATCCCATTCCCAGAAAACATTAATAAATAAAATTCATCTCTGCAAAATGAGGCTACCACCGGATGACCACAAAAAGCCCCCCCCCCCCCCTCTCCCGTCCTAACACAACTGCAAGACAATGACTCATACACAACTGCGCTAGGCCGGATTTCCCGGTACGTATCCCTGATCGAAAGCCACCCAGAGTTCCTGTCCACAGACAATCTACGTCAGGCGGGAGTACTTCTAGGAAATTTCATGTTCTCTTTTCACCCGAGTTTGCAAGGAAACTAGGTGGCATCCTCCCGTCGACGAAAGTTAATCACATGACAGACGCTTCATTTTTCCCCACAGACGATCTTCGTGGGATTGCTCTCGAAGACAATGGTCGCGAATGCGAGCGATCTGGCAGACGTGCAACGTTCACGCGCGTTCACATCCGTATGTGCAAACCCTCCTTAACGCGGCTAACGTGGCCTTTATGGTTATCAACTTTCAAGCCATAAACTACTCATACATGAAATCACGTGCAAGCGTGAGAAGCTGCGGGATGCTCTGGCGGGGGGGAGGGGAGGGGGGGGGGAATCCACGATCGGACATGCCCCATCGACGACGATCCGAAAGTGCGGAATCCGGGAATGTTCAACGGTTTCATCGCAGTTAAGAAACTGCCTATGGCTAAGGAATGACAGCTGCTTCCGTGACGAAAAAAGAAAGTTCGCTCGGGGACAAGGCGAACTTCCTCTCCCCGTCCACCCAGCCAACAAGAAACGCCCAGAGCTCCCCGACCCGCGCACACCGTAGGGGAGGGAACACACCGCACATTAGCGAAGGGGTGACGGGAGACGCAATTCACTTCCGCTTCGTCCCGTTCTTCCCGATTGCAAACACCTGGAAGCGGCTCGCTTCCTCCCATCCCAGGCGCTTCCGAACACAGCCGCGCATCGGGAAGCCCCGGTCTTCCACAATTCCACCCATTACGCGCGATTACTTTCAATGGAGCGAATGCTGGTGGCCATTAAACGCCCACAGCATCTCTTGCGCATTCCCAAATGAATCACTGTCCCACCATCTAGTATTAGCACGCGGAAAAAAAATTGTCCCGGACTTCATAATCACCCCCGTACTTTGCGGTGACTGCAAAGATATGGCTTTCGCATCGGGAAGAAAAGCGCAGCTGGCTCCCTCCCGTTCTCGAAACCGCCAGGGAAAGATTTCCTCACGGAATCCAAACTGAACCACATGACACTCTCGCAAGAAAAAAGACAATCATTGTCGGAAATGAGAATTCCTTCCTCATCGAGACGGCCAAGTGGCACACCAAATGCACACGGAAAATTCGACCTCGTGCCTTCCAGCCAGAATCCCCCAGCTTCATCCAATCGTGAACGAATGACAAATGTGAGGTGAATGAAATTCAACACGCATGCAATTATGCAAACCGCTTCACCCGAACCAATTCGCGAGGTGCGCCTGCAACAAATTTTGCAACCAAAAAGCAGAAAGCCGCTGCATGAAAAAATAAAAACTTTTTCCTTCTGCATTGGCTAGGTCAGATTTGCAGACTGAAAATGCAATCCGAGATTTGAGTTTCGAAATGAGTCTAATCTGAGCCTCAAACATGCGCAGAGTGGCCTCACATCAGCCACACCTAATCCCCTGTTACTTAGACGTAACAACAAGAAAAACCTATATAATCCACACAATAAAGGACGCGATTTGTTCCGGTTACTCCTCATGAGTCATGACAGACTTCATTCCCATTTTCCTAGTCATGCCAAATCCTTAGTGCATACTCAACTGTAACTAAAATTTTGGGAATCCGGGAATGTTCAACGGTTTCATCGCAGTTAAGAAACTGCCTATGGCTAAGGAATGACAGCTGCTTCCGTGACGAAAAAAGAAAGTTCGCTCGGGGACAAGGCGAACTTCCTCTCCCCGTCCACCCAGCCAACAAGAAACGCCCAGAGCTCCCCGACCCGCGCACACCGTAGGGGAGGGAACACACCGCACATTAGCGAAGGGGTGACGGGAGACGCAATTCACTTCCGCTTCGTCCCGTTCTTCCCGATTGCAAACACCTGGAAGCGGCTCGCTTCCTCCCATCCCAGGCGCTTCCGAACACAGCCGCGCATCGGGAAGCCCCGGTCTTCCACAATTCCACCCATTACGCGCGATTACTTTCAATGGAGCGAATGCTGGTGGCCATTAAACGCCCACAGCATCTCTTGCGCATTCCCAAATGAATCACTGTCCCACCATCTAGTATTAGCACGCGGAAAAAAAATTGTCCCGGACTTCATAATCACCCCCGTACTTTGCGGTGACTGCAAAGATATGGCTTTCGCATCGGGAAGAAAAGCGCAGCTGGCTCCCTCCCGTTCTCGAAACCGCCAGGGAAAGATTTCCTCACGGAATCCAAACTGAACCACATGACACTCTCGCAAGAAAAAAGACAATCATTGTCGGAAACGAGAATTCCTTCCTCATCGAGACGGCCAAGTGGCACACCAAATGCACACGGAAAACTCGACCTCGTGCCTTCCAGCCAGAATCCCCCAGCTTCATCCAATCGTGAACGAATGACAAATGTGAGGTGAATGAAATTCAACACGCATGCAATTATGCAAACCGCTTCACCCGAACCAATTCGCGAGGTGCGCCTGCAACAAATTTTGCAACCAAAAAGCAGAAAGCCGCTGCATGAAAAAATAAAAACTTTTTCCTTNCTTTTTGGGGGGTATGATTTTTTCAATTGGCCATGACAGCCATTCCATGGCACCCATGGACATAAAACCATACATCTTTGGAAAAGGATTGGATTGAATTTTCATTTGGTTTTGTTTTGAACCTTCTAGCTTCAATAGTTCCTGTTCTAGACCAGTTTAAAAAATGGACCGTTTTTTTTTGCGCCACCCTGTATATACAGCAATAAGTAGTAATGATAACCATCCAACTCATCCTCAAACTTTCCAGTTTACAATGGGAGTGATATCTCCAGCAGGACAAATCATGCACTTGCTTTCAATGCATGCATTGAAAACCAAGACTGATCAGGGACCTAACACACTCATTCAAAATGACCTCCCCAACCACCTTCAACTTATGTGAAAAGTCAGAGGTTTGCAGTGCTGCGACTTCCAAGCCAATCCCCCACCGTACGGGACCAATACCAGCAGCCAGAACAAACCAAGATGTAACTCACTCTTCAGGCACAGGAGGAACGGAAGGAGGCGGAGGGGAGGAAGGAGAACCGCTGGATTCCCACGCCCTCTTCGGCTCCTGTCCTCCCACGCTCTGCACCTTCTTCACCAGTGAATATGATGCACTCCCTGAGGAATTCCCATTGGTCCCTGAGCTCACAGCGTTCACGCTCCCGTTGGACACGGTAGTCTGCCGCACGAACGTTCGACTCGAGGCCCTGGAAGAGGAATGAAGTGAGGAAGTTTCAAGACATCTATATTCCTTGGATGACAGATTCAGTACCTATGGGCTATGTAATACTCAGAAACAACACTCATTCCAGATAGAAAGGTCTATGTGCCTTAAACAGGGCTAATTTTACCAAGCTGCATCAGGCAGGTCTGTGTGCATGAAATATGGAACAGGAGATCATGAAATATATTTTAGAGTAAGTCTCCTTTCATAATGCAATTCTAATTGAATGTCTATGGAAACCCACAGCAAAGCAAAAGTCTAGTTATTTATAGGAATACTTAACATTGAAAGATTAACACTGAAAATTTTTACAACTTGTAAAAAAAAAAAAAGATGTAATCTGACATCATGGCCCATTCACTCCAGAAAACCTAATCCAGAATTTAATTAAGAAATTCTCATAAAACAACAAAAGGGAACTGAATGGTTGCCTTTCTTTCAACAACAAACAGGGTAAGGGATAATAATAAAAGAAAGGCCCCTGACCTGTATTACATCTATAGAGATTTATCTGCTATCTTTAGTAGTTTCCAAGCAACTTGCATTGTCCACTGATATTTTCTGAACTGTCTTCTAGAAGTCCAGTCAAATTTATTTTGCTGAAGGAAGGCCATGAGTGATTATTTGTTAAAAAAATCAGAAACAGAAAATGGGCAAGGAATTCCAATCCTTTTACAGGCTAGACTCCACCTGCCTACTTTCATATAAACAACAATCTGAAGAAACTTAAAGTCAACTCTCTGGACTGATACACATTAATTGAACAGTTATTAACTGGAAAATTGCTGATCAAAACCACCATCTCCAATGAAAGGTCAACCCCTAAAAAATGAACTTTTCATGTAAGAGATATGCAGCCACAGCATTACAGCATTTCTTCCACTCATCCATCATAACAAGTTCCTGTCCTCCTTCAATATTCAACTTTTTTTGAGCAACTGCTCATAGTCACACCTTAGCATAATTAGTTTGAAAAGAATTCATGTCTGTTGGTAACACACAGTACAAGTACTGGGCAAGTTTGGCAAAAGTAGCTATGGCAAAAGCAGATGCTTATTAGTTAAAATTTGGGGAGGGTCTCCTGTTTCTGTGCCAAATCCTATAAAACAGAGCAGTACAAGATGTAATGACAGCCATGAAAACATGCTGATCTTGAAGATCCCTTCCCATATGCAGGAGATTTTGTACTTTGGCCCACAGAATACCAAGAAATACAGATGATCCAAATTCAGCTGAAGTAATGATCTTGCTTAAGGGTCGGGATAAAGCAGTGACTCTACGATGGGAGATCAGAGAGTCCGATTAATTTTAATCAAAGAAGACAATTTTTTTTCTTCATTTTCTCTCGAAAGCTCGCTTATTCAGCATTTCTCCACATAGTCACCACCAACTTGAATGCATTTCCTGAGGCAGTGCAGCCATTTTGGAAGCACTCCACAAAATCTTTTTTGAGCTTTCCCAGTGCATTGTTGAGAGTTTCAATGACGTCATTGCGGGTGTCAAACACTCTTCCATGCAAGGGCTCCTTGATTTTGGGGAAAGGCCAAAATTCTTTTTTTTTTTTACTTTTGGCTTTTCCCCAAAATCAAGGAGCCATTGCATGGAAGAGTTTTTGACACTCAAAATGACATCATTGAAGCTGTCAACAATGAGCTGGGAAAGCTCAAAAAAGATTTTGTGGAGTGCTTCCAAAATGGCTGCACCGCCTCAGGAAATGCATTCAAGTTGGTAGTGACTATGTGGAGAAATGCTGAACAAACGAGCTTTCAAGAGAAAATGAAGAAAAAAAATTGTCTTCTTTGAGTAAAATTAATCAAACTTTTCCACCTCCCCTCGTACTTAAACTCGGATCACCAGAGGATCTAAATTTTGACACTACTAAACGTAATGAATCTCTATGGGGTACAGGAAATGAAGATACTCTCCAACTGATTAACTCTTTGATAGAGCATTTCAAACAAACTTTACCTATAGTTTGACAGTGAAGCATTTCCCTGGAAAAAGCCAGAAAGTTACTTTAACTATTCAATACAATAACAAAGTTGACAATATTAATTTTTTTTTTAAATATCAGAAAACCCTCCTAATGAGTTATGCAATATGAATATGTAAAACAAACTTACTCATTTAACAGTCTCAAAGAGTTAATAACTGAGCTAAAAAGGGTCTTGTACTTTTTGACTCAATGAGAACACATGAAACCCAGGAAAAATACCAATACTGAAAAGTGTTACATGCCACTAGCTGAAATGTGCACATGAGTTAGGTAAAATAGTTTATTACTATCACACTAAACCCACAGAGCTACTTCAACAGGTCTTGATGGTTAAGTAGTTGGGAATTTTTACTTTGAAACCTTAGTATGGAAAGAGTTCGCACATAGTCCTTTAACCAACAACAGGTTTAATTAGATAATGCTTTTTGGGGAGAATGTATGTCATATCTAGGGTAAATCTAAGCATACACCAGTATATGTGCCAAACCTGGGTGTAAGATACCTAAAAAAATAAACATCTCCCTTGAGTTTCAATTATCCTATCTCTCAGTCTCCTCAAGAGTTGATGGAAGAGTTGAGAGAGAGTTTCACTGTTAGAGGGCTGAAGCAGATGCGATGGCCAAGCTAAGCAGAAACCCCCCTACACTGCAACTACATTTACTGTAATAAAAAAAAAGCCAGTTGTCCTACAAGTCTTCCCTTATCCAATCTTGAAAAAAGAGGGCTTAGTAAAATCTCCATACTTTTTCAACTCAATTGGCTGCACAGAACTGAATTAACATTCCAGGGTAGATATTTCCAAGAGACTTTCAAACAGACACAACCCATTGCTATCAACCATGTTTGCATGAAATATCACATCCTGAAGGAATTATTATACCTGACGAATGATCGATTAAGCCTGGCCCTCCTCTTTCCTTCCTCCACCGCCTGATGCTCTGTTCGGCCGCTGTAGCGAAACTTGGACCCCAAGAGAAACGGGAAGCGCTTCCTCACTCCACCCTGAGGAAGCGCCTGGAGACGGAAAAACCCGTGGTGTTCCACGCAGCTCTTCCACAAACTCTTGCAGGAACGGTACGTGAGGAGATTGAAGACAAGGATCGAATCGAAGTCCTCTGCAAGCTCTCGACGAAGCGTCATCAGGAAATACTTGCGTTTGAAGCTCAGCTTGATGATCTTGGCCCACGAGAACATATTGATCCGTGTGGAATTCTGGAACACCACCTAGTTTTGGGAATTCATAAACTAGAATTAATGATACTTCCTTGATGGAGCCTGATCTCTGAGCATTGGTGACACAGCTGTGCAATGAGACTTCAACTTATTCCAGCATATGTTATTGCTGTGTACCTGTCTTCCTGCTAAGAATATACAAGGCTTCTCATATTATTAATGGGGGTCTGTCTGCATGAGTCCACTCAGAATTCTACAAGTTTGTCAGGACAATGACACTGCAGCTTGAAACTTAATGAAAAATTTCCAAAAACTTTTTAATGTATTAAAATGAACATCTATAATGTTTTCATAGAGGTTGATGTCCTCTTTATCTCAATTATCAATCATTCCCCAGCTTGCCATCTCCAGGCAATCATTGCTCTATTCCTCTTTCTTTCTACTGCAATATCCTAATTATGGTGCCTATACCTTCAATGATGGGATACTTAAAAGAGGCTCTCTACTGGACTAGGCACTGGTAATTGCAGCTAAGGTTCAGTTGCTTCACAGCATTTCATGATAAAAGAGGACTCAAAAAGCAACAAACCAGGCCAGTGGAGGTAACACCAAGGAAGATCTCCAGATTGTTGGCATCCCTGGCAGGACGGAGGTCCACCCCATACAACTCCAAGCGCTTGACGTTCTCCAGGAACCGATACTCGGCATCTGCTGGAGTCAGACCCCTGAAACAGAGACATCTTCACCATTCTGCGACATCACCCAGGCAACTCATGGTAATTTATGGGCAATTACTTATGTAGGCGATGGAGTTCCGAGATCTTGGCTTCCAGATCTTCACTTTGGTCGGGGAGAAGACGGAGATGATGAAGATATCCTGAACCGTCACCATGTTCCTCAAGGCTATGATCTCCCAATTCAGCTAAGAATGAGATAGCTCAACCATAATATAACAATCTAAACACAAAAAAATTTACTCTCTCTTCATCATCTAATTGCACAAAGTGATGATGGGAGACTATTTTCTATACCTGAAAAGCTAAAAATGATTCATTCTTGACCCTTAACAATGACTTTAATGTAAAGTGGGTACACAGCAAACATTTTATTCTAAGTGAAAGTTATTGTTTCAGATACATTTATCCAACATTTTACCCTTTGCAGTCCTTTTTTTTCCATGAGTACGCCCACTAGGTCCAATTATTTTCCATGCATTTACTGCAAAATTTGCATCTTTTATTATGCTTCTCAAATTGAATACAATGAAATAAAACAATAATGTTGAGATACTTCTGTCAAATTTACCTTATAGACTTCCCAATCACTCTCATCAATACTCAAATTGTCTTCCCTTTCCAATAAAAACTTCTCTACATCATCATCATGAAAGGACAAGTTTTGAAAATTTCACATAATTTCTAGATTATTATGGGTTTACATCTACTGGAAAAAGTGAAGAAACATTAGTCAAGGTTTCCCTTAACAGATGATAGGCATAAACCACAATGTCCCACCCAGCAGGACATAGGACCATAAAGGGTTAATCATAGTTCACAATTAGCACAGGAGAGCACAAACAGCAGAGTGAATTCCTGTCAGAAAAGAACTCTAGGCTAGGCAATTGTTTTCTTTAAATTGGTCAAGCTCATTTAGTCCTCTTGAATCACATATTTCCAGCTTTGCTTCCACTACTTCTTTCAAGCAGCTAGTTGCTTTCCTGGCTATTGAGAAGGTTATCTGACCAGAGAAGTGGCATGGAAATAGAATAGAATAGAATATATTTCCACATATTTGCAGATAAGTAACAAAGATGAAGGTAAAGACAATGACAAAAATGAAAGACAATACATAAATAAATAAATAAATAAATAAAAGAGAGAGAGGGGGGGGGGGGAAAGAAGAAGCAGCAGCAAATAGTGCCAATAAGGCCATTCATTGAAACCAATTGGGTTCATCCTGGATGGCTGGGTTGGAATGAAAAAAAAAAGATAATATTATTTGATTGATTGAATGTATTGCCTTTTTTTGTTTGTTTGTGTGGTTTCTTTTATTTATTTATTTTATTTTTCAGGAATCTGGTCAGTCTAACCAGCCTGAAAGGAGCTGTTTTCTATTGTGGATTCTTTTCTTGAAAATAATTTAATAATTTAGCTTTAAAGATTTGAATTGATTTTGCAGCCCTTATATCCTCAAGCAGTAAATTAAATTTTCTCACTCCTTCTTGTACAATACTTCGATCTGCAAATTTTGTCTTTGTTCTAGGTATTTGAAATTTTCCTGCTTTAGATGTTTCATAAGTTTCAGTGTTTCATAAGAGTGGGAGTCAGCAATCCTGGTTAACTTTAGGTTTCAAACATTAAGAATTACACTTTCTTGGAAAATGATTTGACAAAGATGAAATTGAATTAATTTTCTTGATGGCAAAATTCTCCAGAATACAGAGATATCTTCAGTAGGGTCTCTATAATCTGCGAAGCTCATAATCCTACTGCNGCAAAATTCTCCAGAATACAGAGATATCTTCAGTAGGGTCTCTATAATCTGCGAAGCTCATAATCCTACTGCTTCTTTTTTTAAGTACTTCTATATTTTGCAAATACTTTTGATGTGTATTACCCCATATTGATATGCAGTAAATTATGTGAGGATAGATTAGTGTCACGTAAATGTTTCTTAAGAGTGACCATGGAATTATATTCTTGGCAATGGAATTTTTTAGAATGAATTCATTCATTGTAACTGAGGAAGATTAAAATGCAATAGTCAAGTAGACATACCCTGGACAATGTAGCTGGCAAGGAGAGCCCCAAGGCATGGAGGGACGTGGAGGCGACCGTCTAGGATATTTTTCCGCAATTGGAGGGAGACAAGGTAGCGTGTGTATTCTTCCTGAAGTTGGGATGGGTCTGAAGCGTAGAATTTCACTTGAAGGTAAAATGTGCAAGGCTCCATCCCTGAAAGGCAATGGCAGATGTGTTTTCATTATAATCTCCTCATTACCCCAAGAGGTTATAAACTGCAAAACTTCTCCTTTGCACATTAAAAGGTTTCATATTTTCCAGCTTAAACCTTTCTTTCCTCAAAATTTCTGGCACTAACCCTTCTCCCTTGGACAGCTCTGAGGCAGTAGGCCTACTACATATTATCTCATTCATGCTCGAAGAATGGGTCTTCAGGAAGAGATCCATTCATCTTCAACTGAGGAGACAAATCTCACATGCTGAAAATAGTTATCTTCTCCCTCTCCCATGGTATTGCAATATGAGGATTTCAAAAGTCAAGGTCTCCTAAGTGTGATAGGAAAGAGAAGACTCACCTCCAACCTGCTTCCGGATCGATTTGAGTGGGTCAAGCCACCTCTGCAAAGGATGATGCGAAAAACCGTAAATGGAACAAAATGCAATCGAAAACTAATCACCTTAAGCAATGAGTAGCAGCACCCTTGCAAGTCACCATCTCCATCACTTACCATGCACTCTGGTGCAAGACCCCCATTGTCTGAGAATGTAAGTCCGAAGTAATCCTTCTCAACGAGTTCCAAGTAGTCGAAGACTTTGTCCAGAAGCACTTGCCCCTTGCTCTTCTTCTGTAAGAGATAGTAAATCTACATTGACACACTATCAGCAACATGTTCCTCTGGTCACCTTCGGCAATTATAGCAAAAATGTCACTGGACATACACTTATTCCATTCTTATTATTTCACTCTATTGTTCTGGATGATTCAAGCCTAATATTAACTTATTGGTTCGACAGTAGAAATGGTGAAGGAATTTCCATTCCAGTTTCATTATCTATTTTGACCATCAATGTTACTTTTGCACCTCGGCACTCTCATTGACAACAAAGCTTGTCAGATGCAATCAAGAAACAAATGGCATTTTTCTTCTTTTTAACAGCCTAAGTCAACAGAATGAACATAACATTTTACTGCATCAGTATGGGCCCCAGGTATTGCTAATATGACTTGAGCAGATCAACATTGATATGGATTTTTTTGGGGACATGGAGCAGTATGAATACAAGAAACAACTACAGCTTCAGGGACCAAGGTAGGCAAGACTACACGATATGGTTCCATTGTTAAGCCGCATCTGGAAGACAAATGACATCAACTCACTTCAATCTCGAAAACCTTCTGAGTGTCATCAAGAAATATCACGGTGCACTGGATGCTTTTCAGGAGACGATCACGTGCCAATTCACTGGCTCGAACATTGTAAGAGCCGCTGGGTCCTACAAAGCTCTTCCTTGACATCTGCTTCTTCATAGGCCCCCACCTCCAGGCCAAAGTTTGGCCTGGTGTTGCTTTGGGGCAACCTGGAGAGTAAACAGAAATCACTGAGTATGACAGCAGGCAATATGAAGAAAATCACAGGTTTCAACTCTCTCAGCAAATATATCATTCGGTTTGGGATGCTTTCCTTTAAAAATTGCTTCTTCTTTTCAGTTTTTTCAGTTACAAAACCTTTTTTGACAATGCCATCACAGAGGTAACATATTTGTGGTAACAAATAAGTGCATACCACTTTGAGAAATTTCACTTCCTTAGTCTATAACGTTTCCAGACGAATTCCACTAGAAAAATGCCACACCCATTGGGATTCCTTTTTTATATTATAAACCTACCTAACCTGGCCTAACTTTAGGAGCAACACAATATCCATAAGAGGTATACACTTAAATATGATCCATATCGGTAGACTTGAAATGATGGACAAGGAAGACTTCAAAAATTGTTTATCAACCACTCCAGCCATTCCAAATTGTATTTACCGCATTTACTCTCGCTTCCCAATTTTGTCGTGCTTCCTACCCTCTTCATCGGTACAAGTGAAAATAACTACTTAGCAAAATACCTACACTGATCTAAGTAGATCAGTGATCAGTGAAGTAGATGTCAGTTCTCAGCGAAGCCTACAAAGTTGTGGGACAGCGATGGCCTAACGTCAGGCCTGAAAGGCTACCATACGCTTTGCACTTTGCTGCGCAGCCTCTACCTTCTAAGTGTGCCCAGGACTCAAGTCGAAATTATTGCGCAGTAGATGAAAACCTAATACTAAAAAAAAAAAAACATATGCAAATTCAGCAAGTGGCCTGAAAATAAGCAAACGAATACTCGGGCAAACAATGTGTCTTAAGGTGTCACAGACAATAGAGTTGTTGATCTCGAGCACGCTGCCATTTCTTTCCGTTCGCTTCTCAGGGATGCTCGGAGGCGATCTTGGGTTCAAAGTCGGATTAAACTTTCTGCCATATGGCATTCTGCAGGAGCTTGGGACGAGTGCGGGACACGCGCTCTCTCCTTGGGGCAAATACTCTCTCCTGAGAGCACCTCGAGAGCCTGGAATCCGCTCGCACGGGCTCCTGATTCTCCAAGGTGTAACACAGTAGCAAGGTCTTAATAAGCGGCACGTGCAGGGGGGCCGATGGGGGGGCGGAGGGGTTGGGGCCACCTACAACATCTGCACTGATTCGCTTTTTATTCGTTCAGATCATTCTTACTCTTCTCCGTTCATATGATTCATTCACGCCGAAACCCGAACTAACGGCCCCGCTGAAATCATTTTTCCTTCGAATTCGGAAAACTGGTCCGCACCGGTTGGCAACCCTGCGACGACCAAGAGAAGCAGTTGGCGTTCAACTCGAATCGGTGCCAAATCCTCGTGGTTCCCTGGGAGCGGAGGCATTAAGTTTTCTGGTGACTAGACCAGCTTAAAAGTTCGTGGAAGTTTTTCTCGAGCCCGTTCGCGAATGCGCTGCTGCCGAATTATGGATCAATTACAGCATCGCTCAAAGGTGAGATTAGGCCTACCATCATTAAGTATATTGATTAAATAACTTAAAATACATCATACTACGAAGCTATAGCGAGGCTCTGCCTTGCCTAAGTACGGTATGATGTGTAGATATCGGGGTTGCGTAACTTGAGACAGCTGGTACATAATTGTATCAGAGAATGGTTAGGCCTAGGCCTATGTTGCTTGTCACTGAAGACATTCTTTGGAAGGCCTTTCCTAAATTTTGCAGAAAGACCGAGGCGACGAAAATTGTCGGTCCAGCCCCGTCGCATCTGCTTGCATCCTTTCAGCGCCATCAAAGAAGACACCAAGAACTCCAATTAGGACACCTAGGGCTCCTAACAAGTTTTCAAGAACCCCCACTCCATCCCCAAGGTCTACACACAAATTTTTGAGAACCCCTACTCCATCCCCTAGGACTCCCACCAAATTATCAAAGACATCACCATCACGTGTAAGATGCTTCCTTCTTAGATTTACCATATTTATCTTGATAAATCAAGGCAATCCAGCATGAGATTTGTGTTTTCTGTTCGTATCATACACCTGTGTCATGGGAGTGGAGGAGATTAGTGACATTTAGGTAGTCAAAAGCTTGGGAGTGGCATGAAATGGAGGATTAAAGAAGCCATAAAATTATTGATCTGGGCAGAGGGTAATTCATATATAGCCCAAAAGATAGAATCCTACATTGAGTTAAAATAATTCAGAAGGAAAATCAAATTTGCCATAAGTATGAGGTGTGAGCTACCGTGCAGCAGTGGTCTATGCGGCATATGCGGTGTGAGCTACCACACTAATTCATGGCACTGATATTGCCAGTATTTCACATATCCCCAAGTATGAGGTATGAGCTATATGCAGTTCGGTGGCCTACCTGGCGCCGGTATGCCTAATCTGGCATAATCCTTGCTTGCAGATTATGTCTGAAGCAGTTGTCCTTTCTTGCAGATTAACCAGGCAGATTACCCTTGCGGATAATCTGAAGTCATAATGCTCTCCACGCTTATCTGCGAATTAAGCATATAAACCCATCAAATTCTCGAGAACAGTTAGTTGCTCAGGGTGCTTTTCCCTGAGTTTTATTCCGTTATCTGGAGCGAAGAGAGTGCTGCCACATTTTTGAGGGAGCACGGACTTCTTGACGACGAAGATACCCCACCCACTTGCATTTGAGAAGGCTGTGGAGGAGAGACCAGGCTGTATACACCAAAGAAGTGGATGGTGGATGGCAGCAAGGCTTCCCACGTTTGCTTTTGGTGTGTGAAGAAGGGCTGCCAAAGAATGCAATCCGTACAGCGCAGCAATGATTTCTTCACCTACAGGGACATTAGGGGTCATGTCCACAGCATTCTTTCAATATGTAAGATATTTGAGATTGTGTTCCTTTGGTGCCACAATCTGTCCCAAATCCAGGTAAAGAGCACCATGGGACTGTGCCATCAGGCTGTGGTTGACTGGTTCAACCTATGTTGCGATGTCCCTGCAGATCAGGAAGAATCACGAAAATGGATGAGACTCTTCTTCGAGGGAAACGGAAAGCAAACAAAGGACGTCTGCTACTTGGAGATCGAGAACCAGAGGCAGGCAATGAGAGCTCCGAGGATGCAGATCTGGTTGCAGATGTTGCCGACGTTCCTGGGGGAAGGAGAAATTATGGACAGTGCATTGAAGGTCCTTGGGTCTTTGAACTTGCCACAAAGCTGGACAGCGGTGTCGTGGAACATTGATTCTTCATTGTGAATCTGCAGGACCAGAGGACACTTCACAACATCATACAGGCAGAAGTAGACCTGGGTACAATGTATTCAGATGAATGGCCTGCATACAAGGGCATTGACCAGCTGGGGTGCGCTCACGAAACCGTGAACCACTCGATGAACTTCGTTGATCCAGATAGTGATGAGCACACCCAGCTGATCGAGTCTTTGTGGACTGCTCTGAAGTTGAAGGTGCTCAAAGAAATGTGTGGCACGACCCAGGATATGAAGGAGCGGTACCTCATCGAAGTATGGTGGAGAGGATTGAATCCAGAGAAGACATTCGAGACCTTCTTGTGGGATATGGCGCTAACATTCCGAAAATTGAACTTTACGATAAAAGAGAAAGGACGAAAGTCCTTTTCAGGGCTATCACAAATATTGGGAAGAGCCTTTACGGTAGTTCACACCTCATATTTATGCGGAAAATGCTGGCAATGGAAAATGGGCAGAAAATTTGTTGTATTTTCTTGAAGGATAGAATTAAGTTGGCAGGGATGGCATGTCATGGGAGCCTATTCAGTGTGTCCTATCCTGATTAGTGCATCTTTGACCATAGTTTCATTCTAAAAGCAGGAGCTTCCAATGTAAAAACTTGAATTGTGGTTTACTTTTGGTGGGTTTTTTGGTTAAATGTAATCATGAAGTTCTTGGAAAGTGATTGAGGCTGTTAAAGCATTATACAGTGTGGAGGTAGGTAAACTGTTTCTTTTTACTTTACATAAGTCTGCTTATGTAATGGGAGTATATTTATAACTCTCATTAGTGGCATCTTTGTGTCATAAGAGTTTTACCTCATGTCCACATGGCATGTATCCCATATGCAATGTCCAACTGGATTAAGGTATAAAAGGTAAAAAGGATATTGTTTGAAAAAAATATTTTTCAAATGGAAAGAATGCCAATCAATACCTTCCATATTAGTGCCTTTGATGAGCACTTTCCAGGTAATACTTTTATCAGGCAGGAATCCCAAAAATTTGACAGTATAAACTTGCTCTGTTTTTATCATGTAGTGTTAGGCTTGTTTTGGGACCTGCACATGTAGATTAAGGACAGAATATTAAATATTTCCTTTGTTCAAAATTTTATTTGAATTTATTCTTTAACTGATCATAGTCTACCTTCAACAGAGTGTCAGTAACTGACTTGAGATAATATTGCATTAAATTATATCATATCACCTGCTAACATATTAATCTTTTGTATGTGAACTGGCAGGAAATCATTATCCACAAAATATAAGAAAACAACAGGGAACAAAAGTTGATCTCTGTGGAAATCCTCTTATAATGTATGGTGAATGAGAAAAATTCTGCCTTCTGTATCACATACTTCTGCATGTCAAAAAGGCTAACCAGCCTCTTTTAAGGTCCAATTTCTACATTTGAAAAGGAGCAAGCATTTACTTCTCAGGGTCCAAATAGCATGAAGTTCAAACTGTAGACATGAGGCAAAATTTTGCACAGAAACTTCAGGGGCTCAGGGTTTGTCTCACACTTCTTCAACACTGGTTTCAAGTTTCATAATGATACCAGCCCTCTGCAATTTTTCAAAGTAATTTTCTCATCTTGGAGATGGATCTCATCTTGAAGCATCATTCTTCTGATCACATTCTGTTGAAAAAAATTGAATGTACTGCAGGAAAAAAAAGGGAGCCCAATGAAGAGCCCTAAGAAGACCTATATCAACAGTCCAGTGGGGGAGTACATTCGGGACCGATCTCACGTGGTGCCTCTCCTCCGAAATGTCTACATGAAGAATGACCACCAGCAACCCATCAGATCATCTCCACACAACCCCACCATGTGCCTTACTCTCATCGAGCAAGGCCGCGGTTCGCCAACGTGAATGTTCTTCGGCGCCAGGCTCAGAGACCGCTTGGAGTGTCTGACGAATAGGCCTAGTTTTTATGTGATCGTGTGATTGACCGAGCATTTTCTTCCCGTGGCAGTGATTGATGGTAAATGCCAATATCGAGCCAGAAGAGAGACTTTATTTTGTAAACCCGCAGGCCACACCCATGAAAAAAAATCCAGAGCAAAAATATACCCCTCTGTTGCCATTAGAATTCTTTGCAGAAATATATGCATGAAAACAAAATAACTGTTAAGAGGAGTGTGATTTTTTTATGAGCCTTTATACGGAATGCTGGATCGAAGAGCTGACAGAAATTGCAAAATACTCTCAAGGATCATCTAGTGCTCTCAGGTATGTCATTCCCTCATTGACAAGGATGAA